ACGGGGGACTGGCGTGTACTAAAGAATGTTGGTCGGGTCGTCGCTCGCGACATAGAAACTGAATACATTTAAATAAACGCAAACCGTGCAAAAGCAAAGAATTACCCGAACGAAATAGCGTCGACAAAGGGTATCGGCGTTGTGTTCAGCTGGAGATCGCATCGATGTTACGAGGAGATGTCAACGCTATATAAAACAAAATAGATGAAACGAACGAAGGAAATGGAATGTATAAACGAAAAATGAAATAAGGGAAACGTCGACGCGATGTCTAACTGGCCACGCTGTTCAACTCCCGCGTTAGTGGTTCGCATAGTTCCCTCTGAGCTACTTTAGACTCTATATATGTATAAACACACACGCATATATATACCATAAATATATATACATATTAAAAAGGGTGAAAAATGAGCACATTCCGGCGGCACGATCAAGATTCAACGGTCCCTGTGCTTAAAGAGAAGATTTAAGAAAAAGAAAAAAAAGAGGTGAAACGCGAGAATGAAAATATAAAAAGAGGAGTGCTAGAAAGACATATATGTATATATATGTATACATGTATATATGTATATACGATATATACATATATATATATATATAAAGATAAAATAAAGGAAAGAATGGAACTTTTGTCCCTGGACCGGCCTGGCCGGCTCACGGACGCAACACGTGGATATAAAAATGAAAAAAAAAGTACGAGAAACACAGGCACACGGATACATACACACGATATACACACACCTGCAGCGAGACTAAAAAGAATACGACTAAAATGGAACACTTTTACATACACGATGCCTGCGCGAGCGCGTAGATAGAGATTAATCGAGGTAACATTATGTGCGCATTATAAACATTTTGGTACTGTACGGCACTGTATGACGCATCTCTTTATACGTAAACACGTACTTCTTAACTAAATAATAATCCATCGCCGCGGTGAAGCCTCTCGAAGCGTTTTTACGCACCGTTACCGGCATTCCTCGCTTTCGTCGGCCAGAGGATACTGGCTGGTCACCTATCGTGTCACGAACGAGCGCGCGCCAATTCGATTTCCGTGAGGTCCGAACGAACAACTGCTTTTTGCATTCTTTGAATCGTGTTGTAATCATAGGATCATTTTCAGAGCGATAATTTTAAATATTAAAACAACCTCCTGGACAAATTCGATATTTGAAGAAAATTTGATAAAAATGATTTGTTTAGTGAACTTTAAATTTCTATGAATTTGAATATTATACTATTTAATTTGAAATGAAAAAAAATCAGTTACACATTATAGTTTCGTTAATAATTGGATACTAATGTTATACAACTGATTATACGAAATTTAGTATATATAATACATTTTGTTGTATTCGGTTATTACAAGCCATTTGCGTAATTCCATTCGAGATTGTTTGCGCTTGTTGTGCCGTGTACTCTACTTTCTTTCTCAAAATATTTCTAGTTAGACAAAGACTACTTTAGGTATTTGGTACTAAATGCTAACAATGTAATAATATCTTCAGTACAATAATCACGTATGTAAGTTTAATAGAACTTCCAGAAATAGAAATTACAAATTTCATGAGTAACACGAAACAACGGTGTAAACAAATAAATCTGCTTCACCATTTAAAAACACCAAATAGAACCCCCCGGTCAATTTTTATGTTAAATAAACGTTTTTCTAAATCTTCTAAAAAAAAAAAGAAGAAAAAAGGCAAGAAAATAATAGAAACGGTGATAAAAATAGGATCGTACACGAATCTCCATTCCTTTCGTTGCTTTGACTAAAAATAAGAAATAAAAGAAATCTTTTAAAGTCCGCTATCACAAACGAATATGAATTATCAGCGAAACACGGACTTCTCAACGAGAAATATTACGGAAATCGCGTTAGCTCGGTGCTAGACGCATGGACTGTAAATGGATCGTGAAGAGACACTTCGTGGATTCAGTATCAATGTGATGACGATCAACGACCAATAGGTTTTTTCTTTTTCGAGAGACGTCGTTTGTTGCGGCCGCACGTTTCACTTCGCTGTTAAATCCGTTTTTTGTACGCGATCAACGATTCCGGTTAAAGACACACATTAGCGCGTTAGTTAGGTATTATTAAATATAGAGCCGGCCGTTTCTATCGCAGAAAGGGAACGGTTGGGTCGTCGATGAGATGTTATTGTTGGCGAATATCGTTAGACGCTTTAAGGAAAACGCGACAACAATCGGGTGACTCGATGATTTTTTCAAATCGAGAATGATGTCGGTCCTGTATTTTCGACTTTCTATTTATGGCTCGAAAAAATTCTAGCTCCGTTATAAAAAAAAAGCTATGCTCCAAGATCGTGTACCCCGTGAGTTAGTTGCGGTTGCGACGTTCTTCGTGATTCGATCCATCTCCAATCCGCCAGATTGTGACTGTCGTCGATTGAGCAGAGGATATTGTATAGTTGAATAAATTGTAGTCTTGATCTTCTTAATCTCTAAATAAAAGCCGCGAATTTTTATTAGAATTAAACACTCGAAATCACTGAATAATATATAATGAATAATAGGATATTTCGTTAGTTGAAAATTTGAAATTCTGATTCGATCGAAAGATGAATAAATTCCTCGCTAAATTCTTCGCAATATGAATATTTACATATCTGACTGTTGTTTAAACATCGTTGATAAATATCTTTCAAACTTCGCGTTCGTCGTGATGTCAGATAAAGACAAATGACGATGACTGACTGTCCGTTATTCAACTATATTATTTCTTCTGCGCGTATTCCAAACGCCAGCTCTCGAGAACGTCGAATTAGCCGAGTTTTTAAGCCGCTAAGTTGGAGTTTCGTAGTGCATCGGGAGCGTCGATACTTTACAGTTATAAAGTGTCCCACATTTTTAGCGCAGCTTAGCAGACCGCGTAGCGTGACCGTAGTTGATAGATTTAAACAGAGTTTATAGATAAGTTTTCTTCACCGTAAAGTATCGTCCGCGTCTCGTAACAAAATCCCCTTCAATTTATTGTAATTTAGCGTGACGCTTAATCCCTCAAGTGGCGGCTCTGACTGCCCGAACGAAATAATCGAGCGCATTTTTTGTATTCGCGAAGATAAAAAAAAAAAGAAAGAAAAGAAAAGAAAAAAAAATGGACAACTCACGTCATGTTACATTAACGTTTCAATTGTTCACAGCGTTCACTATTTAATTATATTGTCGAAAGGACGCGCTGCTTAAGGGATTATTCGGTTTTTAATCATCATTTCGTATACTTCGACCGAGTTGAGCGACGTGTCGAGTGCAGACAAAAAAGGAGGTGTAACGAAATAACGAAATAATAAAGTAAAAGGAAACGTAGCGACGATTGTTCGAAAGTGCAAGAGGGAAACGTGGTATTCTCAGACGAGACATCGCTTATTGAGACGTCGGAGACGCGAGAGTTATAGCGAATTGTGAAGAAAGAGGGAAGAAAAACAAAGGTGAGAAAAGATAAGGAGAGGAAGGACGAGAGAATGAAGTAAGTTATAGGGTGTTAAGGAGAAAAATAGAAAAAGGCAAGAATGAAAGAAAGAGGAAGAACAAGAAACAAAACAAATTGAAAAGGAAGAAGGCTCGACGATAGCGATGGCGAATCCGTCACGGTGCGCCGACTGACACGTTTTCGGACGGTTTAAATATACTTGTAGCGAAATTAAGAAATGCATATTATTCTGCCGATTAACGAGTAAGTGCGTAGAATTCGTTTAACTGTAGATAAAGAAAAACACGTACACAGTCACGTACGCGCGAGTGCAAGATACATTACCACCTGTAATCGTTCACCCACGACCACCAAACCCACCCATATATACACAGCGTACAAAACACACAGGTACTGCATAACATGAAACAAACAAACAAACACACACACATACGAACCTACATACATGCATACACAGGCGTAAATACATGTACACAAAACAGTTACATTACTTAGACATCGGAAATAACCGAAGTACGATTTAAGAAACAAAATAATAAAACAAAAAGATCACAAAAACGAAACGAATGGAGGAGAGAAAGTGAGAAAGTGAGTGAGAGAGAGAGAGAGAGAGAGAGAGCGAGAGCGAGAGAGAAAAGAAGAATTAAAGAAAAAAATTAATGCAAAACACACACACACAAAGGCGCAACACGTACACGCGCACGCACGTTGCAATTAGACGTTATTATCGCAATTTGGAGTTAAATTTTATAATATATAATATATAAAAATATATATATAATATATATAAATAAAAGTTGACGGATAATATAGAGTTATATTAAATATCGATTAAAAAAAAAGAAAAAACGAGTGAAAGAGTTATGTTCTTTAGGGTGGTGCGGCTCTCGCGCTATCAATTCACCTTTTTCACCTTAATCCCCACCTCCTTAACTTTCTTAATCCTTTTAACACTTCCTCTCACGGTTTCTTTCAAGGTAGTCTTGTTCCCAATTACGCTCTATCTTCCTACGGATTCTGCTTTCTCTCCATTACTCCAGTACACATTATTGTTTTTTTTTCATTTACAACATAAATTATAAAATGAAAGGATGATGGAATAAAATATGTATATGGATCATATAGGTACTATGGTAATTTTTCATATTTTATTACATCTTCAGTTTTGTAGATTTTAATTTTTGTAGGTTTTACAACCTATTTATTAGTTTCATTTCTTAGCTGAATTTTTAATTAGTATGTATGTAAAAATTAAAACCTAGAAAAGGATTTAAAATGTGTTATTTTACATAAATAACACTTGTAACTACATATATTTATAAAATTTAAATAACAATTTAATTATTCTACAGCTATGTGGAATCCTTTTCGAACCTGTTCTATTATTCTACAAAATGTTTTCAATGTTCTAATACCAGATTTAATAAAAATAAGATCATCGATATTATTAATAAATTTTCTGTATATTTCATAAGGAAGAAGAAAGGTGAATTAAATATTTTGTACATCACATAAATATTTCTTAATGTTAATATGAATTTATTGTGAGTTGAAGCTGCTTCAAGAAATCCGCGGCGACTAATTCTTCGAAATCACCAAGGAGGGCGTGTTAAGAGTATGGTGATAGAGTGACAGACGCTAAAATGAATACATTTGGCAGTCGTCGTACAAAGTGAGAGAATTTATAAATTTAGTTTAAGATACTTTTATTTTACTAACTTCTCATTATTCGTTTATCACAAAAAATTTGAAAAGGATTCAATGTATCTATTGAAATTAACATATTCATCTTTATCTTTTTGAGGTTAAGTCTGTTATGTGTGTAGTTACTAAAATATAAAACAGAAACATAATTTTTCTATAGCGTAAAAATAGCAGTAGGAGCTTTAGTATGCGAGGAAAGTATTTTAAAAGGGGATATCACTATTGGACCAAAAACTATAATTCATCCAAGAGCAAGTATCATTGCAGAAGCTGGTCCAATTATAATAGGTGAAGGGAACATTATAGAAGAAATGGCGATCATAACAAATAGGTAATTTTAATTTCAAACATTTCTTTGCTCTTTCTTACTTATTATTTGACTAAAACATTTAATTATGTTATTGTAGGTTACCACCAGATACTCCCGAACCAACAACAATTCCGGTACAAATAATAGGCAATTATAATGTATTTGAAACTGATTGTACTTGTGAAGCATTTAAAGTTGGAGATCATAATATTTTAGAAAGCAAAGGTTACTATATTGTAATTGAGAACTTATTTATTTCTGATGCATCTTATTATAATTTTATCTTTATTTGTAGCTCATGTTGGTCGTGAGGTTGAACTGACCAATGGTTGTATTATAGGAACGTCATGCACAATCACAGAAGCAGACACAATACCAGAAAATACAATAATTTATGGTAACGAATGCCAACGTAGAGAAATGCACGATAAACCATATGTGAGTTTCTATTGAATGTGGGATTACATTATAGGTAATATTTTGTTGTTCTATAATTTTATTATTTATTTCAGCCTCCAATAAGTCAAATAGAATTTTTGTTAAAAATTTTACCAACTTACCATCACATTCGTAAACCTAATGTAAAACCAACAAAAAATGAAGGGGGGCTATAACAAACTATATACATTCTTAGGTAATATATTTGCGATATAATGATTTAAAAATGCAGCAGATATTTATACATTTAATGTTAATTCTAAAAACTAACAGTGCATTTTAATTGCGTTTCTGTTTTCTAATTGTATTTATGCATTCTGCACTATAAAAGTATTATTATTATATATATGATAAATTATGAGTAGTTTCACATGTAATGTACAATACATCAGCATATAGCCCTTATGAGTTATTTGAAACAAAAATGAATATAGTATGTATAATAGCATCTTATGAATAATTTTTTAATATAGATTTATTTTCAAACATTTAAAAGTGAACTTACAGAATATTTTGATAATATTTTGAAGTATTAAATAAAATATGCTTCTTATATAAGATTTTATGGTTTACTGTAACATCATAGAAAACCTACATCTATTCATTGTTCTTGTCACATATTAGGATATAAGAATAGTACTACTGTATCATATTATATTCACTATGCTTTTTAATCAATGAATCGACTATATGTACATTGTAGAGTGAGGTGTATATGTATATCCTAGTAATAAATTTAATTTCCTGCTGTGCCAACAGATGGCAGAACTATCATCTATTTTGAAATCAGTTCTGAAATTTGACGAGAAAACTTGTTTTATAAAAAAGTTATCAATTTTATTATATGCTAATTATATTATTTATTTATTATTTATTATTACGTATTGGATTTGAATGAACTTGCGCTTCTGCAGTTTTTAACATTTACACTTTTTGACAACAACATACAAAATATGAAATATGTTCTGTTTCTATTAACAAAGTACCTATATAATTTACTTATTTATTATATAAAATACATGTATATAAATAATTCTATCTACATGAACTTTTTATAATTGAGCATTTTATGAGTACATTTCCATCCTTTATTAAGCTCCAATTATTAATTAATTATTCATATAAGTCGCAAGATCTGTAAATAAAAATATATTTCTTATTATTCATTGGAGCTTAGGAACCTGGACGAAATTTCGCGATATCAGTGAGTCCGTGCGCGTCGGCGATGCGACAAGTTAATATAACTTGATGTTTCTCCTTCTCGACGTTCTTCTCCGGGCGAACTCTCCGGAGAATCGCGGCGGCACAATACTAAACGCTACACCTATGAATATGAATTAGCGTCTCGTCGAGGGGGTTGGATGCGAACCATTTACCGTTTCCGTCAGCTTAGCCGCGTACCACAGTGGCTCTCAATGCGATGCTTATTTAAGCAACAAATGTGCGAGTCGTGTTACTACATAGTTTGTCCGAATTAACTCATTAATCATCTATAGACGACATTTTATTTTGTTTATACTACATAAAGTTCAATTGAACTGCTTCTGAACGGTAACAGAAATAATATTCAATTTTTACTCAATTTTATCTATACAGTATAACATAAAATTTTGTTATGTTTGGATTATTTTAGTTACATCTAACAATTTCTAATAAAATTTTACGATAAGTAATTATACTATTAAATTTTCTAGTTTATGCGAAAAAACGTTTTATACGAAATTCTGTATTAAATATATTTTATATAAAAATTGAATATTATTCAAATAAAAAAATAAATTTAATATGTTTTATTATGTAACAAATAGAACAACAATTTTTCTGGAGGAATATATGAAGAGGAAACGCAGTTAAGAGCGTAGCGGTCGCGAGTGCCGCTTTATTTTAATGATCGCTCTTCGCAACCCTCTTGAACGCAACTCTTGTCGCGGAAAGTGGTGACCCGAGAGAGCTGTCATATTTTGACGTCCGCAGCGGGCGTTCTAGGCCAGAAGGGGGAGACAAGAAGAAAAGAGATTATTTTTCGTCGCGCTGGGAGAAGCCAGAAATCAGTACGACGGCACAACCAAGGGAAAGTCCCTAATGGCGTAACAACCACAGATTTGTGCAAGGTTTTCTTATCCCTGTTAGTGCGAATTCATTATCGATAAACTTTTAGCGGATGATTTTTGTCTAAATTGAAAAGAGACTTAATTCTTTAGTTGCTAATTTGAAAATACTTCAAACGAGATATAGAACATATAACAAACAACATAACAAATTTTGGATTACGATACTCTTGAAATGTTTCTTCAACTTCAAACTTACTACTAATACTTCACATATTACTTTTTACAGCACTATAATATTCTACGACACTATAACTACATCAATTATGCGGGCCGCAGTATCTTCATAAAGAAATTCCTTCGCAAAAGTAGTTATCCAGAAACAGTAAACTAATCCCACAAAATTAATTTATACAAACAATTTTCTTATAAACAAAATTTTATTTTTGTAGCATATTATTCTAATCTATAAAGGCGATTACCGTAGTTATGGAAAAAGATCATTTTTAGATTTATAACAAGGATTACTCTTGCTTAATAATCGAGCCTAATGGATGGAATATGAAAAGAACTACAACTGCAACTGCAATTGCAATATAAAACAACGAAAATCACGAAGAGCACAAAATGAATTCAGCACCAAGTGGAACTTCAACCGCATTAAAATCATCCGCCAATAATTCAGGGAATAGTTATCGTTGGACGATAGACGGTCCCTAGAGAACGTTTCACGATGATCTTTCGTCCATCAACGGTGGCGGCGATCGTGAACGCGTCAAACAACTCTCGGCGCCCTCGCTCTTGCGCTTAAATTGACGTCCGCGGACAACACGGGAGAACCGCTTTGTCGAGCGGCGAACAAGAGTGACGAGCGTTGCGAATGCACGACTCGCTTAACATTTCCATTGTGAACGCAAACGAAGACTGGAGGGCGAAAAATGTCATGTACGTCGACGGGATCGCGCGTAGAATTAATTCGATATCGCCGCGGTTTGACAGAGATTTCCCGTAATTACTGGGGAAACGTTAATCCATTGCGAATTAAGTCTCTGCTTGTTTTATAGTTAAATAAAATAAGGGTTCTCATTACATTGTATGAAATAACACTAGAATGAGTAAACTTATAACTCAATCTAATATAATTTATCCATGGAAATACGAGGAGTTAATCAGAAATGTAAGAAATGACTCGACCTCCATATCATTCTAAGTATCTTATATGACCGAAATCTTCGCAAATCATCTGTTCGGTATTGAAACTTGGATGGGTCGTTTAGGTCCATTTAGCGATGAAATCGTCGCATGTCGGGAGATCCATGTCGATACCGTGTACACGATGTCGTCGAGAGCGATCCCGCCGCGCGGTCAGCCGAGAGGCGACGAGATAAACGATTCAATCGTGACAATGAATAATACTGGAGCGACGGTTAAACGCGGCAGCGGATCGGATCGGGTCCGCCCACAAGGCTGTCCGGAGGGAAACCACCCGTAAAATCCAAAAGGGGTGCAGTGGAGCGGGAGCGGCAGGGGGCGCCAGGCGACTCTGTGACGCGATTATGCTAACGAAGTTATTCCATTGTAACGCTGTTTACAACGGCGCGCATTAAGGCTACACCGGAACAATAGCAGCCCCCTGCCCCTCTAACTCTCTCCTCCTTGTGCACGAGCCAGGGAATCCTCGGGAATCGCGCGGCCATTGTACGCCCTGTTCGAGAAGGAAACACAAACGATGCTCGATGATTGACAGAAGTGAAAAAAATGTCGAGGGTATAAATGTCAGCGGTCAGCGATCGTGAAAATTACGGCCAGAAAGTTTTGATAAATAGAATTTTCTTGTTGAAATGATCACTACCTAGTAATTAGTGTAATAAATGCTACATAATTCGAAATAGAAGTTTATCAATATTCTTAGTTTATAACAGCTCAGCTGCATTTTTTTCTTTTCTGATTAATGCTTACTGTTGCATCATATATTCGATCTATGAAATCGTTAACAACAGTTCGTAAAAAGTACTTTACTGTACGTGAATACCCTTTGCTATTTACGTTATTGTACATACTCACAATTAATCTTATATTTACAAGAAGAAACAAAGGTTATTTACTTATATTCCTATACGTAATACATAAGGCAAAGAGAAGTTGCCAAAACCATCGAACACAATGAATACAAGAGGGATGGAAGGGGCCCCGACCACTCGAGTCTGGTTACACCCTATCGGGGCGCCACTTGACTCGTATTTAACTTTCAAATATATTTTATGCCTTTTGCATTTTAATACTTTCATGGATTCGCTATTTCTACACCCTTCTCTCGGTTCGCCTAATGCGCATGCATTTTCGTTCCAGTGAAATGTAAGCGATTTCGTGTCACAAACCATTGCCACCCCTCATACGCACCAACACTGTCAACAACATATCTCCAATCCCATTTGATACCAATGCTATTTTTAATTTTACGCAATTAAACTTTAACGTATCCCCTTGTATTTTTTAGAAAACTCTTTTGCGTAATACTAATTTTCTAATCTGCTTATCAAGATAAAGCTTCTAATTGTTAAATATCGTACCATATTTTTCTTTCTTACAACAATGATATAATATCTCACTATTCACTTTTCATATTTGTTCACGAATTCATTTTTCTTCGATGAAAATTTGCGATCGTAGAAATATATGAATGCACTTCACCAAGTCATAGATTCTCCGTTTCGTTGGCTGTAAAACTTCGTCAAAATTTGATTTCCTCGCGATAACAGAGAGGCAAAGAGATCAGCGTGGGCGATTCGAGACGCAAGAAACTCATGCACGAACGAGCTCGGCATTTATGTGTCCATCGAAGCGTGACGACGCTTCGACGGGATTATTTGTAGGATTCAGTCGTATACCCGACGTTTCCGCCGAATCCTTTGTACCATTCGCCCGTTACGCCATAGAATATTTTCGAGACGTATTTAGGCTTGTTTCGGACAGCCGGATATTCATCCCACTATTTTTACTCCATTCTATGGCCTTCACTTTCTCTCTCCTTCTTATTTTCTATCCTATGTTATATTTGATCTCTGAAAATTCGATTGAAAATATAAAGCGTTATTTCGTAGAGGCAGATATTATCATAAGTAACAAATTTTTGGCAAGTTTTAAAGTCATCAATATCTTTCGTAATGGGGGTTACATAACTTTTTATATGACAGTTGGTGCCTATTTTCTGTTTTTCATAAGACACTATTAAGGCCGTGTCTGGGAACAATTGTTTGAAATGATATTTTAATTTTAATCATGTAAAATTTATCGTTTGAAAGAATGCTGTTTCACTTTCATTATTTAGATACATATGTATTTAATTTATATTCTATATTAAGAATATTTCAATGTTTAAGATTTTATATAAAATACATACTACCTTATCAATGATCTTATTATTCCTGACACAATTACTTTTACTATTTTACTAGTACGTTAAATTAACAAAGAATGCAATTAGCGTACAAGATCACGTATCTGCACAAGTGTCTATCGACATTCAGTGGTTGTTAGCTAAAATGAGAAAGAAGAGCAAATCGAGAGGACGACGACGAAGAAGATTATCTCGTACAAAGTCCGTCTCTGTGATTCTTTGGACTTTGGACGTCGAGCTGCTGTTCGACTTGTCCCTTGCATCCGAATGCGACTGCCGATCGCTTTGAAGTACACCGACGACACCGTGTACATATTCTTCCCTGCCAGTATAATAACTTGCGATGAGAAAAAATTAATTAGCCGACCGAGCCAGCTGTGCTCCGTTTAAGTAAACGCGGAGATTAACACGCTTCCGTTTCTTGATTGATTTATGAACAAAGCGGAAGATACATACGAAGGATAAAGTTTCAGTTGCGTAACTTTCTTTTATTTTGTTACTTGGTCTTTATAAAATAAAGAAACGAAATTCAACAACGCAAATAAACTGAACAAAATCTTCAAATGAAATGTTAACGCCACATTAGTCCTTAATCAGATTTTACGTTATTTACTTGCTAGTAAGAGAAAAGTAATATGTTTTAATAATAAAATTTATCACATAGATCGTATCATATACGTTGATTTCACATGTAAAGCGCCGACACATAATATAGTATGGCTACGTCGTACCGCCGCGTATCGGTACCTTTGCCTAACACATCATTACCCTAACACATCATTACCAAAATTCACAGTATAAAATAAAGAAACGAAATTCAACAACGCAAATAAACTGAACAAAATCTTCAAATGAAATGTTAACGCCACATTAGTCCTTAATCAGATTTTACGTTATTTACTTGCTAGTAAGAGAAAAGTAATATGTTTTAATAATAAAATTTATCACATAGATCGTATCATATACGTTGATTTCACATGTAAAGCGCCGACACATAATATAGTATGGCTACGTCGTACCGCCGCGTATCGGTACCTTTGCCTAACACATCATTACCAAAATTCACAGTTTATTGTGAATACCAAAATGTATTTAAAATTGTATCTTGGGTTAAATAAACATCATTAAAAAAAAGATATACGTTGATTTCATTAAAAGAATTCAAACAATAAAGAAGAAATTGATGAACAATTTCGCAAATATCAGCTGTATAACGTATTACCTCCCTTTTGTAGACACAGACTACTGCGAACGAAAAAGTTACCGTACATACACGTCGAATCAGATAATCTTTCCACTTCGTCCACAGAACAGAAGCGTGTATGCAGATGTGGTTTGCCGAGGGAGAGCCAAGCAGGAACGTAGATGGCATTCCTCTAATTTGTCGGCTCGACTTTGTCGGCTAATCAATCGAGTTCGTGATTACCATGCGCCGCGAGCGTTAACCACGACGAGATTCCACGCTTTTCGTGCTGTATCTATCTACGCGTAATCATAGCTGGAAAGTGTGCATGTGTATGACTAACCTTTATTATCATACTATACAAACTTTCTACGCATGTATGTATATACATGGATACAGCTAAAGGAATAATGTAGTTAATGGTTCAGGCCACAGTTTAACTTTGACGCATAGTTGAGGATTTCTTAGAAAAAATCAAATGAAATAAAATTAAATTATGTATAAAGTCTTCCCCTATTTATATATGAGTTAATGTGAAATTCATTAATTGATAGGCAGATTACGCAACATTTTACGAAACTTCTCTATGCATGCACCTGGAAGTGAGATTTTGCGGCATAAATCCTCTTTTACAAATGTACTTTCCATGCACAATTAAAAACCGATTACATTCGTTTTGGCGATTATTCAGACAAGCATGGTGAACGTTTCAAGCTCTTTCTACGAGTGCATCTATGTATGTACATATACGCTGGCTTAACGTGCCATACGCGCGTTCGTGCTGCCTGTCGGCAAGCAGACGCACGCATCGCCGCCTTCATTTCACGCATAATTGAAAGCACGTCCCATTTAGCGTCGAGGACGTTCGCCACTTCTCTCGACTGCGGGCTTCCTCTTAAGATAGCACCCGTTTAGTCGTGTCCCGTACGATTAACGTGATTTAAGTATCGTACCCGTTTAACGTCTCAACGAAAATGTCCGCCATAATTCAAGCAGCATGTTTTTTCCTGCATTCTCGCACTTCGTAAACGCGTGATCTTCAGTTCTCGTCTATGAAGTTTCATATAGATATATGTTACACAGGCATTTATATTTAATTATACGGTAAAATCTTGATTATCGGACACCAATTAAGAGGACAACCTATTCTTGGAATATCGATTAAAGCATAATTCAGGATGATTTCTTGTATGCGAGATTGGAAAACAAAAGTAAGAATTTATTTCACGCCATCATCCTTAAATAAATAGTAACAAAAGTATTACTTTCCAAGCATTCTATTCACTCCCTTGTTTCCGTCTTACCTTTCCTCCTCCTCTGGGCTTTCCTTCCTGTTATTTATTA